TTAGGCAGTGAGTCATGATTAAAGCTTTTTACAACCATAAGCAATCAATCAATCAGTCCATCAATCAATAATAATGGTGCACAGTATTTCATTACACAATGCAGGCAACAACATATTCTTTGTATGACCATGTCATACAAATTTCATGTCTTTTAGGTTTGCTATTCTCGTCTCGCTATTTTTTGGGTCCACCCAACCATTTTGGATCTAGACAGGATGAAAGCATCATTCTGTTTTGTATTCAAGTCATGTTTTCGAGCCCTATGTAGAGCAGATGTTTGTGAGAACAAATAATGAGACTGGTCCACAGAGGAAAAGCCCAGGGAAAGCACTTTTGCTAACCTTTCTCTCATGCATGTGAAATGTGCTCACACTGTAAGTATGTAAGTGATGCTTTATTAAACTCAGGGATTTGAAGTTCAGTTTTGGGTTTTTTGCCTTGAAGGCTTAACTGTTTCTCTTTAGCTTTGTGGGGGTAGGCTCTGTGGCACTTTGTCAGAATTCAAAATCTGAAACCTCACATATGTTACATGAAGGTGTGGAACAAATAAATCACACAATTAAATGAATCTGTCAGAAATTTTCATCTCTCATTGGCCTACTAAATATAATCTCCAGTTGGATGTTTAACTCCTAAATTCCAAAAAACTTAGTGATAAAGTCATTTAGCAGTTGTCAGCTAATTATCCATGATTTGTTTCATCCTATGCTTTTGAGAATCAAACTCTAAAAACTTTTAAACTCCACCTGTTAGACATTTGAATTCCAATCAAGTCAGCCTAAAGGTTCCAAGTATCTTACTTCCTGGTGATTCACAATGCTCTGTTTAAGTAATGAGGCACATTTTTGTGTAGAAAGTGACTGTGAAAGAAATCTAATTGTACACGTAAGTTGGTTAATATTTTAATATCTATGTTACTGTATTAACAACAATGAAGATTACCGCAAAAATTCTGGTCAGCCCACATTTTGTATTAGCCCCAAGAATATTCTTTCTAAAGTCACTCTTCTCCATGCAGCTAACCCAATACCCGTTAGTGATTCTTCTCAATATAGAACATAATGATAGAAAGCCAGTCTTTCAAAAGATTCTGCTTTAGATGATCTGGATCAAATCACAGGAGCCAGTTTGCATGAACTAAGCAAAGGAGGAGCGATTTTACTGCATCAAACAACCACCATTCTTTGCTATATGACTGTGCAGAAAATCGGTGTTTTTAATAGTTATATTTTGGCTAGTGTTGTATTTTATGTTTGGGTTTTTTTTTTTTTTTTGAGACTGTGTAGACATAAAATTCTCACAGAAAAAAATGATAAACAAAAAAAGTACTCCTTGCTGTCTTGTTTAATTTTTTTATACCTTACTATGTTCACAAGTAATTTGAGGTAGCTTTAAATAAACATAAAATAGAATAAAAAAGAAAGAAATCTTGAGTCCAATAATCCAGGGAGAAAAAAATCAAGAGATAAAAAGCAAGAATTTAGGTTATAATATAAACTCCACTGCTTAGCAATAAACATGAGTTAGGCTATGAGCTTCCTAGGAACTAAAACAATGGGAAAAATTATCTGTTATGTGACCCCCAGTATCCATAAGATAAAAATAAACTCACGTGTCTGATGTGAAAGAGGTGTTTGCTAAGGCTTCCATCTCAATCAAGTTGTAATATAAATGTTTCAAGTCAACCTTACACCTTAAACACAATGTTGTATGTCAGCTGTAACAACAACAAACTGGTTGCTCAAAAAAAAACAAACAAAACAAAACAAAACAAAAACTAAGTATCCCTAAAAGTAAATCCTGAGAGACATTCTTTTCTTCCCCTCTGAAATGTAAATAAGAGGATTCTTAACAATACCCCTGCAGTAAATACAAACATAAGATGCTCAGGGTTCTTTCTAACCATGTCTCTCACAGCAGGTCAACAGAAACACAATGCAGAGACAACAAAACCCAGCTGTGTAAAAGCACTGGGGAGGAGGGGTGCCACAAGAGTGCAGCACAAGCAAGCAGCTGTCTTGTCTGACAACTCATGAATACATTTTTCAGGATCTAGAAGAGTAGCAGGCGGTGTATCTTTCAAGCCACACTCCATAAACTTTTGATGAATAGTGAGGCATAATGAAATGAAGATATTATTTTCTAACAAGTAGAATATAAACGAATGATTCAGTTTCTCAGTGGATCTTTATCTGGATTTCATTGAAAGGCCCTATTGATCTAAAGCTTCCATAGACATACCTGATATTCTCGTCAAAGGATTACCAGAACTAAGGGCTCCGACACGTCCCTGATCCACAGCCTACTTACCCCAGCTGTGTGAGATGATATGGTCCCTAATTCCCCACCTCTTCCCTCCTCCATCTTTTATAAGAAGATGAAAGACAAGACTATTTGAGATGTTAATAAATAAATTGCTATCACGCTATTCAGCCTCATTTTTAAAATATGGAATTAATTCTGAAATTAAGAAAAAGCAAAGCATAGACTAGACACAGACTACCATAGACTACCAAAGTCCTGTTCTAATGTATCTGAGCTGCTTGGTGTCAAACCCATCAGGGGTAACAGTTCACAAAGCTCAGGGACCAGATGGTAAAGGCACAGGTTGCTTTGCAAAGCACTAGAAAGTATTTGGAATCTTCTTGCTATTCAATGGATTGCCTGACATTTGTTTTGCCACAGAAAACACAGGTACATCTACTACCACACTTACTACACCTACTCATCAACAACTACTAAAATGGACCAATATTACTTGTTGGCTCTTCCCTCAGGCCCGAGTCTTGTTCCCAATTTGATGTAGAACAAATAATTAGGGCCAAGTCACTGGACGGGTAGTACTTTCATAATGAGCCAGAGGTAGAGTGTCGATTTGTCTGATTCAGTTTTTATAATCCACATCCTTTCCACTGAAGTCTTCTTCCCTTTAAGCTCAAGACAACCAGGTTAAACAATTTAATACTTACTCTTAGAAACAGGACCCCAGTCGGTATTAAAAAGTCATTATAAAATTACTACTTACTGTCCAGCAAGCAATCTGAAAAGAGCTGTAAACTCAAGAGTTGTTCCAAAAGTCAATATTCCGAATTCACCATGCCAATGTTTGTAGGAAAAAAGCTTAATGCTCTAGCCCTCCATGGCTTGTAAGGAGTCAGACAGGCTCGGCTGGGATTTTGAAGGCAAATTAATAAAGGGAGGTGAGGCAAGGGTTAAGAGAACTAACAAGGGAAAGTGAAACACTCAGAAGTTCAGCAGTAGGAAACTGTCCCATCTTCAGGCCCCAGAGGCTGGTGGAGAAAAACAATGTAACCAAAGGCATTGACAACTGTGGGCTCTAGTTTCAACGCCTTTTTAATCAAGGATGCACAGAGAACTTCCTTTACTTAATTGGGAGGAAAAGGGAATCAAGACATAAAGAGAAACTTGATTGAAACATGCTAGCAAAGACTTTTCACCTACATACCACCATTTTCACATAGAAATGTAATTTGCACATATGCAACAAGGAAACACATTTCAAAAGGTAATTGAAACTTGAGCAAAACAGCTGGTCTGAAACAAAAGCTGGCTCTCAAGGTGAGTTTTTTTCCCCAACTTAAATGTAAAATTTGGAAGAATACTGCCTGAAACACCCCCATGATAGTTAGTGAAAATGATATGCTGCAGCAGGCAGGGTGACTCACGCCAGCAGAGATTCACCCAATATGGTCCCCTAGAGAGAAAAGGAAAAGTAAGGTCAACAATAATTTAAAACTTTAGAATTATTCCAGAAACCTACACATTCCCAGACTGGAAGTTGAACTGGAAGCCAGAGTGTTTCTCTGCCCAGCAGGAACATTTAAATTAGGGAAGAATATACATCTGCAAAAGAACCTTCTATCCTTAGGAGGATGTGACCACAAAAGGGGAAAAAATAATTTATATGATGAATGAATTGCTCTGGGACATGCAAGATACATGTTGCAACACAACCCTTTAATTTTCTCCAATTAATTAGAAGCTCAAGTCCCTCCTCCTTCAAACTGGCAGGAAGACATATGAGTAATTTTGGGCTCTCTGCACCCTTCCTAGGACTGCTAAAATAAATCTATAGACTGATAGATCAATAGATAAATAAAACTGACCTTTCAGCTTTTCAGGTTCTGGGCAGAGAAGAGCCTCAGTCTGTGGCTGTCACAGATGCCATTTGGTCTTGGGGCCACAAGATGCCACTGTGAAGCAGGAGTCTCTCACCATCTGTCCAAGCTGTCGGGCCATCTGCGGCCCAAGCCAACAAGCTTTATTTGTTGGTAGGCAGCAACCTGGCAGCTTCACCCACTTTCAGGCCAAGCTTGGCCACCATGAGGCTTGGCCCACCCTTCAGGCGACAGCTCTGTCCTCATAGGTGTCCCCTCAGATCCTGATCCTCAGAGTTGCAGCATTTAAGTGAGGTCAGGACTTTCTGCCTCCCAGGAGGCCAAATACCCTTTCTTCCTCTTACTCCTGGGGGATAAACCTGTTACCAGACAGAGAACGGTTTCCAAACTCAGGTTCAGATGCTCAAAATCACTACTCGCGAGACAACTGATGGTAGGAGAGGACAGCCGCTTTATTCAGGAAGCCAGCAATCTGAGAAGATAAAGGACTAAAGTCCCAAAGACCATCTTTCATGTCCAGATGAAGTGGGAGGGGCTTAAAGGGGAAAGCGCCAGACATGTGGGAGGCAGGGAGCGCTGCCTGCGGGAGAAGCAGTTAGTCCGTTTATCCACAGGACTCTGAACAGACTTGCTGGCATCCGCGGCAGCTGTTTTTGAATACAATGTGGTCAGGCCTTATCTTCCGGAAAAGTTCGGTCCTTCACTCCTCAAGGCCAAATTTGGTCTGCAACTCTCAAGCAAAGCAGGTTACTTCTGCTATAGAGTAGGGACCTTAGGTCAGCAAGCAGGGTCCTTAAGCTTGAAGTTAGTTAACCATTAAGACCAGTTGGACCAGTTCAAACCCAGGTAGATTTTCTCTCTCTCTCTCTCTCTCTCCTTTCAACACTATAAATCTTGGTTTGTTCCTCTCCTTTTTTTAGGTCAATTGCCTTAAACACAAGCGCGTGTGCGCCATGCAAATCTTCTCAATGGCTTTCTTTCAGAAGGTTCTGGGCTAATCTGCCAGCATCACTAAAGAGGAAGACCCTCCGTGAGTAAGAAAAACTCATGTGTTAGGAATCCACAAATTTCTGGGAGAGAAAATAAAATCCACTTCCTTCTTTCCTGATGATGCTGCAAGGGAAAATGAAGAACGTAATTTTTTAGGTCACCCCACTCTCCTAAATTCATAATAAATCTATTTTTTCATTTACTATTCAAAAAACATTTAATGAATTCCAACTGTGTTTTAGGCAGTATGAAAGGCATTGGAGATGGAATAGTGAGAAAAAAGTATTGTCCTGCTATTACAGAATTGACCATCTCAAGTTACCATAACGCAAGCCTATAGACTCACCTCTGGAGAAACAGAAAAAAGTGCAAGACACGAGCCCTGTGTGAGAAAGGTGTTTAAACACAGCTAAGATACGACATGTACATAAAATTATCTATGCTAAAAAACAAAAGTGCAAGTGGAAGATTCCTTACATGGTCCTAGTTGTGACTAAACAATTGCCAAATTTTAGGAGCAGAAAAAATTTTAGGAGGAATAGGCATTTAACTCAGAACCTGAGGAAGATGAAGAATCTTGAAACGTAAGGAGAGGAAACTCTAAAATTATATTAAGTTACAATAAAGGTGAGAAAATGCCTAAAAATTCAGCATATTTAAAGAAATTTTAAGGGGAGCAAAAAACACTTTAATTTTGTTTTTAAAGAAATATTTAAAATACACAGACTAGCATATGAGAGTATATCACTTCACTCTTTAGAAAGCTACTGTCAGTTGTGTTTTCAACTTGGAAGTATCAGATAAACTCATAATCCATAATACTATCCTTCAATTTCCTTGTATCATTAAAAAAAATTTGTTTCTCCCTGTTTCTTCTTCATCTGCAAAACGTCAGTAGAGAAATCCTCCATCAGAAACCAAACACTTTATAGGGGCACCTGGGTGGCTAAGTTGGTTAAGCCCTTGATTTCAGCACATGTCATGATCTCACAGTTCGTGAGTTTGAGCCTCACACTGGGCTCTGCACTGATGGTATAGAGCCTGTTCAGATCTCTGTCTCCTTATCTCTCTACCCCTCCTGGGCTCATGTGCTCATATGCTCACTCGCTGTATCTCTCTCAAAAATAAATAAACATTAAAAGAAACACTTTATACAATCTCAATGGAAGAATAAATCAACTTGATAATTTGGCAATTATCATTGAAAGTCTAAAAATGATAAAACCATCTTGACTGATAAATCCACTTTTGAAAATTTATCTAATGCCAACAGACACATGAAACGATGCTCAACGTCCTCATCATCAGGGAAATACAAATCAAAACCACACTGAGATACCACCTCATGCTGGTCAGAGTGGCTAAAATGAACAAATCAGGAGACTATAGATGCTGGCGAGGACGTGGAGAAACGGGCACCCTCCTACACTGTGGTGGGAATGTAAACTGGTGCAGCTTCTCTGGAAAACAGTGTGCAGTTTCCTCAAAAAATTAACAATAGAACTCCCCTATGACCCAGCAGTAGCACTGCTAGGAATTTATCCAAGGGATACAGGAGTGCTGATGCACAGGGACCCATGTACCCCAAAGTTCATAGCAGCACTTTCAACAATAGCCAAATCATGGAAAGAGCCTAAGTGTCCATCAACTGATGAATGGATCAAGAAGATGTGGTTTATCTATACAATGGAATACTACATGGCAATGAGAAAGAATGAAATCTGGCCATTTGTATGAATGTGGATGGAACTTGAGGGTGTTATGCTGAGCAAAATAAGTCAGGCAGAGAAAAACAGATACCATATGCCTCTACTTATAGGGGGAACTTAACAGAGGACCATGAGGGAAAAGAAGGGGAAAAATAGTTGGGGAGAGGGAGGGAGGCAAACCATGAGAGGTTCTTGAATACTGAGAACAAACTGAGGGTTGATGGGGGTGGGGAGAAGGGAAGAGGGGTGATGGGCATGAAGGAGGGCACTTGTTGGGATAAGCACTGGGTGTTATATGGAATCCAACTTGACAATAAACTATGAAAGAAAAAAATAAATTAAAAAAGAAAATTTATCTAAAGAAAAAATAAAAAATTTCACAAAGATTTTGGTGAAAGATATTCATTATCATTATTTTGTAAAAATAATGATTTTTTTTTAAAGTGAAATAAATTTAAGGCAACTTACATATCCACAGTCATGGAGACGGCTAATTTATAGTACAGTCATATAAAAGAAGGATCTCGAAAATACTTAATGATACAAAAATACTGCTCACAAGGTGAAACAATCAGGTTATAAACTATGAACAGTATGACCTCAAATATATAAAATATTATGTGTATATAATATACAGATGGAAAGAAAGATGTTAAAAAATATTAAGAGCTATTATCTCTTGCCTGTAGCATTCTGAGTGAAATGAATTCCTTCTTTATGCCATCCTATATTATTTCAAATCATCAATAATAGATATATCTTTGGAAAGAAAGTCTTGCACTTGCAGTCTTTTGACCCCAGCCCCCTCAGCTGTAGAAGAATGGGCTTTAGACTGGGTATACTTTCTTACCAAGAGTTGGAGTTCTCTCAGGTTATGATGGACCTAGCACCTTGTGTGGGAATATCTTTCTGCATTTCAGACTGCTCACTGTATATTTCCTTGCTCAGCTTAAGCATTGTGTCATATGTTTCCTGGCTAACCCCACTGTTGTGTCTGTCCCCTGAAGGGCAGGGATGGGGTCCTTCATTCTTTGACATGAGAAGGGTGTGAGCAGATCAATTACCTTTCATCAGCTGTATTGATAAAAACATAAGTACGAATGGTCTAAACACACCAATGAAATGAGACAAATTTTCAGATTAATGAAAAAAACAAGATTCAACTATTTGTTGTTTATAACAAACTCATTTTTTTACAGATAATTAACTGTAAAAGGATGGAAAATGATGTACGTTACTACCACTAGCCAAAATAAAGTTTCAGTAGCTGCATTAGTTTCAGACATATAGAATAAGGAAGATGATAAGTGAAAGGCAAGCATAAAATAAGAATAGATGGGTCAATTATCTAAAAAGACATAACAATTCTAATTTTGTAGGCACATAACAACAAAGTTTCAAAAATACGTGCAGTAAAACGTGCTAGAACTGACAAATCTGCAGTTGTAGCAGAAGAGATAGAATAAGTGGAGAGATATCAGTAAAGATACAGAGAGCCTGAAAAGCAGTAGCAACCAACTTGACATAATTGACATTTATAGAACACTTCACTCTAAAAATTGCAAATATACATTCTTTTCCACTGTGTGTGATACATTCATCAAGACAGATGTTATTATGCCAATACATTAAATATAAACAGATATAAAAGAATACAAATCATACAAGGGATGTTCCCAAAGCATAGTAGAATTTAAATACCAATAACAGAAAGATATCTGAGAAATCTCCAAATAGTACGAAACAAACAAAGCACTTCCGAATACTCTAAAAAGAAGGAACACTTTCCAACTGTTACTATGAGGCTAATATTACCCTGATGCCAAAACCAGATGAAAAGAGTACAAGAAAGAAAGAAAGAAAGAAAGAAAGAAAGAAAGAAAGAAAGAAAGAAAACTACAAACCAGTCTTTTTCGTGAACATAGATGTAAAAATCTTCAATAAGTACTAACAAATTTTATCAAGAAATACTTAAAATAAATGATACCTGGGGCGCCTGGGTGGCTCAGTTGGTTAAGCGTCCGACTTTCATCTAGGTCACGATCTCACTGGTCCCAAGTTCGAGCCCCACGTTGGGCTCTGTGCTGACAGCTCAGAGCCTGGAGCCTGTTTGGATTCTGTGTCTCCTTCTCTTTCTATAAACAAACAAACAAATCTATCTCCATGATCAAGTAAGAATCATCCCAGCAGTACAAGGCTGATTAAAAAATCAAATAGTATAATCCACCATATCAGTAGACTAAGGAAGAAATGCCATATGACCATTGTAATAGATGAAGGAAAAGCATATGATAAACTTCCACATCCACTGATGTGATGAAAACTATCGGCAAACTGATAAAACACATCTACAAGAACCTACAGTAAACATAATTTTGAAAGACTGAATGTTTTCTCTCTAAGATTAAGAATAGGGTAAGATTGTCCTATTTTACTACTCCTATTTAACATCATACTGAGAGTTATACCCAGTGTAATAAATAAAGCAAGAAAAATAAAAAGTACACAGATTGAAAAGAAATAAATACAATTCTTTTATTCAAAGATGATATAATTATCTATATAGAAAATCTTAAATAATTCCAAAAACTTAGAATATAGAAATAAAATCAGCTAGTTCTCAAGTTATATGGTCAATATAAAAGAATCAATTATATTTCTTTATACCTGCAATGCATATTTAAAATATAAAATTAAAGAAAAGAACCATTTATAATATCATAAAAAATACATATAAATATAACACATATGTGTAGACTGTATGCTCAAATTTGCCAGGTGCTGATGACAGCAAACAAAGAACTAAAGAAATAAAAACATTAACCACTCTCTTAAATTGGAGGAATAAATTTTGTTAAGATATCAATTCTCCCCAAATTTTATCTATAGTTTCAGTGTAATCCAAATCAAAATCCCCACAATCCTTTTTGTAGATAGCAACAAAATTCTAAAATTTATATGGAAAGTCAAAAGAACTGGGATCATCAAAACAATTTGGTAAAAGAAGTACAAACTTGGAGGACACAGTAGAGATTTCATGATTTACTAATCAAGAGAATATGTGATATTGGCTGAAGGATGAAGACAATCATTAGAAAAGAATAGTATCTAGAATTAGTCTTACATGAATATAGTCAACTATATTCGACAAAAATGAAAAAGCACTTCAGAAAAGGGAAAAAATCATATTTTCAACAAATGGTGTTTTTAAAACTGAAAAGCAGGAACCTCAGCACATACCTCATCTGTTATTCAAAATTTGACAGATGGTAGTTATACTTGTGGTGATAAACTTGTCCAATTACAATGGTGTACACCTGAAACAAACGTAACAAGTATACTCAGATAATTTTTTTTTAAATTTTTTAAAAATTTGAGGAGCGCCTGGGTGGCTCTGTTGGTTGAGCAACTAACTTCAGCTCAGGTCACGATCTCATGGTCCGTGGGTTCGAGCCCCGTGTCGGGCTCTATGCTGACAGCTCAGAGCCTGGAGCCTGCTTTGGATTCTGTGTCTCCCCCTCTCTCTGCCTGTCCCCGGGTAGAACTAACTCTCTCTCCCTCTCTCTCTCTCTCTCTCTCTCTCTCAAAAATAAATAAACCTTAAAAAAAAAAAAACTGACCATAGACCCAAAATACAAAGTAAAACTCTCAAAATTCTAGAAAAAAAATAGGAGAAAATTGTTTATAGTTTGAGTTAGGCTAAGATATTTTAAAAATATGACACCAAATGTTCAATCCATGGGGAGAAAAAAATAAATTGGGATTTATCAAAATCACAAACTTCTGCTTTATGAAAGACATTGTTAATACAGTGAAACGACAAGCCACAAGCAGGGAGAAAATGTTTGCAAATCACATTTGTTACAAAGGACTTGTATATAAAATGTATAAAGAACGCTCAAAACTCAACAAAAATGAACAATCTAATTTGTTTTCAATAAATAAAAGGTCTGAATAGACAATTAACCAAAGAAAACGTCCAGCTGGAAAATGAGCACATTGAAAGAGGTTCAACATAACTAATAATTAAATTAATAATATAGACATTCAAACCACAATATTAAATGAACAGACATTTTCTTAGAATGGCAAACCATCAAAACTCTGACTACATCAAGGGCTCAGGGAATAATGAGCATCTGGAAGTCCTGTACACAGCTGGTGGGAACGGGAAATGTATGATCACTTTGAAAAACCAAGTTTGGCAGCGATGTCCGGGTGGCTCAGTCGGTTAGACATCCAACTTCTGCTCAGGTCATGATCTCACCGCTTATGATTGGGAGCCTCACATGAGGCTCTATACTGACAGCTCAGCGCCTGGAGCTTGACTCAGATTCTGTCTCCGTCTCTCTCTCTCTCTCTCTCTCTCTGTCCCTCCCTTGGTCATCCCCTGTCTCCCTCTCTCAAAATAGAAGTAAACATAAAAAAATAAACATGAAAAACTGGTTTGGCAGTTTCCTATCAAGTTCAGCATGTACTTATTCCATGAGTCTGCAATCCCAATACCAGGCATTTACTCAAGAGAGAAAACCTCTGGTCACACAAAAACCTGTAAGGGAATATGTATATCAGCTGTGGTCATACTTGTCAAAAACTGAGAGCAACCCAGAGGTTTTTCCAGCAGTGAATTGATCAACAAAATGTGGTTCATACAGACAATAGAATAGTACTAAGAATTTTTTTTTAAAAAACCACAAATAATATTGATTCGTGCAATAGCATGGATGAATCTTAAATAAATTTTGCTAAGCAAAAGAAGCCAGAAACCAAGTTACATAATTCCATTTTTAGGACTCTCTGGAAGGTTAAAAATGATAGGAATAGACAACAGATCAGTTGTTGCCAATGATTAGGGGTAGAGGGTGAAGTTGACTATAAAAAAACAGGAGAGAATTTTTGAGGTAATAGAAATGTTCTGTATCATGACTGTGGTGGTTTTCTGAATATGTCCACATCCGTGAAAAGGGATACCATAGAGAGTAAACTCTTTTTCATGTAAATTTAAAAAGAACCAGGAGTAAAGGGAACACAACATAGAAAATAGAAAATAAAATATAATAAGTGAACCTAACTGAATTACAAATAAATAATATAAGGACAGTAATGAGGTTGAGGGGAAAAAAGTAACCTAATTTAACTCCTAAGAATAGTATTTTGACTGGACTAAACACCAAAAAATATACATGAAACCAGTACTCTGGTAACCTTGTTTCTTGTGAATGTGTTAGCAACTTCTAAGGAACTTTATATGTATACTATAATTGAAATAATATGTAAATACAGATAATAAAGGTCATGTTTCTCACTGTTGGAGAAATAAGTTACGAATAAGGTGAACGAACCCTGTGGGGCTGAACTGGAATCAGAGGTATCAGTATAAACTGATGGCTTCTACTGTATACAGAGAGATAGGTACAGAAATAAATTATAAACGAGTGTAATAAGATATGGCAACGTCACGTTCACCCTGACATGTTGCACTGAGAAAGGCACATCATTTCTGTGGTGTTCTTAACAAAAATGGATATCCCCAGTGTAACCATTGGAAAACATTAGACAAACTTAAATTGAGAGAGATTTGACAAAATAACAGAGTATTCTTCAGAAGTGTATGCCCCTGAAAGATAAGGAAAGATCAAGGGGCGCCTGGGTGGCTCAGTCGGTTAAACATCAGACTCTTGGTTTTGGCTCAGATCATAACCTCACATTTCTGGTCTCCTCTCTTTGGTGTTTTAAGTATTGCTCATTTCCCCTGAATGGTCTCATAGCCACCATCATGGCAAACCCTGTGTCCAGCACAAGCCGGTAGCTTTGTCACAGCGTCTAGTCACCAGTCTCTTTACTCATTACCTCTCGCTTGAAATAAATTTACTACAGTGCAACTTATATCTCATTTCTTCACTGTTCAAGTAGCTACAATAATTTTCTGACATCTATCTATTCCACTGTGAATTATGCACTCATAATGGAATTTATGAATTCTTCTTAGCTTGTCCTAGATCTAATCTTATAACTTTACTCTTTTTAATATGCAAACAAAGTTTAATTACACCAACTGCTTTACCTCTCCCCTCATAAGTCATTAATCTCTGCATCCAAGCAGCTCCTTCTTTTATCTGCTGAATCTAATCCTGCAGCCTTTAAGATCAAGCTCATCTAACTTCATGTAAAAGGCAGAATGAACCAGTTTCCTGGGTCTCTTTAAATTCTCTACCAAGCTTCTGATGCAAATTGTATCACCTACCCCACTTACCGTGGCTGATTTATTTTCCTTTTCTTCCATCTAATTGTTTCCTGTATTTACTCTTGTCTCCACAGCTAACAGATTATGGAAATAAATTTTTCATGTATTATAGCTACGTATAAAATGCATCCCACCTGACAAAAGATATTTGCCTCAGAGTCTCAAAAGTTATAAGAAATGCAATATAAATTTTCTATAGTAATTAAGTATTTCCTATCACTGATGACATTTTTCATTGTTATATAACAGTTTCACTTTTATATCACACAAGGTATGAAAATTCAGGACAGAAAAAATGTCTTTAAAATCATCTTTAATCCTACCGCAGAAAGGTAAACATTGTTAACACGGAGGTATATATTCAAGACTTTTTATTATTCATATATCCAACCATTTCTTTCCGATACCGATATAATGTAACTTGCTTTCCTCAAAATAGTGCATATATGTGTACACCATTATATACTATTTTATTATACAGATTACCGTAATAGAGTCACCCAAACCTCAATTATTGAAAATTTAATCTTTGCCCAGTTTTTCTGTATTATTAACAGTGCTATAAAGACCATCTCTATAAAACACACTTGATCAATGGTCTGATTGTTTCCACAGAAGAATTTTCTAAAAGTGGAATTACTGACTTAAAAATAACAAACACGGAAAGGTCCATGATATATAACACCAGTTTGTCGTCAGGAAAGTGTACCGATTTACACTTTATCAACTATATGTACGAGTGCTCGTTGTCATCACACTTTCACGAATCATGAATGCTTTTGGTTTAATCTCGTTAGCTTTTCATGTCATGGTTTTGTCCACTGGTGCATTTCTCAAACTAATCAGCAGAATTAAGATTTGACTTCCACTCACTGACCACTTCCCCTCACAACCCTTCAGCATGGACTTGGACCGGTACTTTTTAGAGATGCTATTCAGGTAAGTTCACAGTTCTGCTTCTTTCCATCTCCACTGCTAGTCACCTCACTGTTTTGCTTTAAGGCCAGCCCGTACAGAGGCAGCTTGCACCTGAACAGTGAGAGTGGCGCCACCAAGCTCCTTCCTGGGAAAACTACACTCAGAATCTGAGAATCCGGCTGCCATAGCTTTGAACTGTCTCTGAGCATCCGTGCTTTGTCTCAATTTATTTTGTACATCTGTTAGCAACTGTGTCTGTCCTAAGTTCTCAGAGAAGCCTGAGACGTTATTATTGGGGTCTTAGAAGGCTTGGAAATATTTCTACATAAATTAATGATAATTGCTTCTTCACTTCATGCATTTCAAGTTAGGAGAGTCTTCACAGGAACTTTCAGCTTTCAGATAGCTGGGGAAACCTGTATTTAAAAGCTTCCCTGGTCATTCAAATTAACCAGAATTAAGAACAACCATTAGAATGTAAATATTCAAGGGGCCCTGGGGTTGCTCAGTTGGTTAAGCATCTGACTGTAGCTCAGGTCATGATCTCAAGGTTCATGAGTTTGAGGCCCATATCTGGCTCTCCGGGCAGAGCCCGCTTCTGATCCTCTGATCCTCTCTTTTTGCCTCTCTCCTGTTTGTTCTCTGTCTCGCTCAAAAATAAATAAAATAAAACATTTTAAAAAAAGAATGTACGTGCTCAAAACACCCCATCCATTTTCAACACACTACTTCAGTGGATGACTTTGGGAGTTTTGATCCCAACTCACTTCCTAGCCATTAAATTAAATAAATAGCTTGGACATGCTGCTATATAGTCTTTTCACCCCCTGATTTTCCTCTCACTAAGCTGGAATTTTTTTCTCCTTTATATTTGGACATTGACAGCTCTCATATCATCGATAGCCCTTCCTGAGTGCTGCCTTCATCTCCCCATAGATACTCTAGGATTTACCCCAGTCTACAGCCAAGTTAACAAATGTTTAACTGCAGAAAACAGTATGAAGACTCTGTGTCTGTCTGCTGTATCCACAGGCCTGGATACCCAGCAAAAACTTAGTATATACATTAAGAACAAACTCTTACTCCCATCTGTAGACCATAAATTTCAGGAAGCTTTTGATTGAGAAACAAGTGAGTTGATAATGTAGGATGGATGGCTTTCTAAGTTTGCTCTAAGCATCCAGTTTCAAAAACGTGTGCAAGTTGTTGGAAAACATTCAAATAATATTTATTCTAAATGGTTAATATTTATACACAGATAGTTTAGATGACAGCCCTACTTCATTTGAGATTCACCACCCCAAGTATTAAAACAGAAGATACTATTCCATAATATTAGCAGTTTCCAAGAGAAAGCTTAAAGGTGTTAGTTTCCAACCGGAATAACACAAGAGGAGCAAACCTGTGATGGAAAAGACAGTGGATTTCTCCTCCAGGTTAAATATTTTGAAAATCACAGATACCATTATCCAAGGTTAACACCACAGTTATTAGGCAGAAATGCTTGTTCCATTTCTCATTTAAACCCGTACCCTGACTGATGGCTTTCTGTGATAAAAGCATTTATTATTCAGCAGCTAAAAGAGGAGTCAGATCTGCAGAGGGAGAACACGGAGGGGCTGTACTGCTCAGGAAAGGCTCAGCTGTCTCAGTTTCGGCAAGGCTGAATGTATAGGATCTCTCTGAGATTGACTTCCCTTGCAACTATGACTAATGCTAAATATAAACTTAGAGTTAGTACAAGTGAATTCTATGTCAATAAAAACGCATTTAATTAAAACAATGATCTGAAATGATGCAGTGTTTAGGAACAGAATGAATGGCAACCTTATTCCTCTTGGATTTTTCATATTACTGAGGAGACGGGAGAAGCGGGGTAAAGACAGACCAGGCCTTTTTGTACATGAGCACGGTGAGCCTGGTTTCCTCCTGGAAACATAAAAATCTGCCTCTTAATTCCACCCCTACCATTAGATTGGTAGATACATTTCTGAGTCGAAGGCTTCAGTGCCCTGTGGACAGGGAACCGGAATCACTAACCAGTCATGTAAACCTAAGATAATCACTTAAATTCCTTGCTTCTGTTTTGCAACTATAAAAAGGCATATTTATTTGAATGCTCTTCTATTTCTACATCCCAGGGATGGAACAAGAATTATATGACATGCTGAGTGTAAAAGCTGCTAGAAAAGTTAACAAGCATTACAAAAACAAGGTGTTTATGGCATTTTTTCTGGAGCTCTTCCTAAAGGCATGCACCATGTCTTTGCTGGCCATAAAAGTTTCTCAAAATTTTTTTTCTCTCCAAAACATGAAAAGGTGATCATATCTCCATTCTTCTAGATCAAGGGTTCTCAATCTGGGCACTTTTGATACCTGAAGCCATATTTATTTGCAGGGGGCCATCCTGTGCCTTGTGTCATGTTTAGCAACATCTCTGGTCTCTACCTACTAGCTGCCAGTGGTAACCCTCCAGTAGCAATAATGAAGAATGTTTCCAGACATTGCCAAACGTGGAGATGGGGTAGGCAAATCACTCCCACATAAGAACCACTGACTTATAACCTATGTTAAACATGTGGGCATAAAAATTATTTTGTTAAAAGTACATCATTCTTTATAAGATATGCTTATGCATGCCAAATGATAAATTATATGTGTATATATATATATATGTATATATATATACATATAAATTTCCTTAAAAAATCAGTGATGATGCTGTCAAATCCATTATTGCCATACTAAATGCTATTAAAATAAGATTAAACAGGTGAGAGGGATATAAAAACAAGCATCATAGAAAGTTATACAACAAAAAACTATCAAGATGAGAGCACAATATTAGAAATAAAAACCAATTAAATATTTGAATATGACCAGACACCATATAATCAAAGCTTAAATGCAAAATAAGAAACAGATAATTAAGTCAATTTAAAGTTAATTTTCTTTTGTAAATTGCTAAAGCAAAAGTTGTAATGTCAGCAGATGACACCAATCAAATGTGTGTGTTTGAGATGATCAAAGCATAACTATTTAACAATGAGGAATGAGAACAATAGCCCAGATTCTCAACATTTTCTGAATTTCACAGTTGGTTCTTAAAGTCCCCATTATTTGATGACACTCTGTAAGGGCTGAAATGTAACAAATGAAAAGAAATATCATTTCCTCACATTTTATGGTTTTTATTACTATTGCTTTGGCAGCTAAAGTAACCAGCCATCTGGTTCCTCTGGAGAGGCTTCAGAGTGGTAACAGTGTGGTCCACCGCGAAAACCATCATGAACTGAAAGCAACAATAAGCTCCCCTACCCTGCTAGAGCCAAAGATTATCAAGCAAGAGAGACAGAGGAGTAGAGAGACAAATTCAAGGTCAGGGAAAGGCAAAGCAAAGACAGAAAAAGAAGTTTGATGGTACATTTTCTACTATTTTACTAGTGACCAAGTTCATTCTTAAGGCTTATTGTCTTATTTATTTAAAATAAAAGCTCTATTTTATGGGCAATAATAGTTGATAAATGTCCTCTTATTTCCCCTTCAGACATTTGAAAAAGTTGTTAAAAGCAGCTGAATAAGTTTAACTTCTGTCTTCCATTTCATGTGATTAAAACACAGGAGTATTAAATCTAATATTAGATACAATTTTTCTCCCTGTTCTACAACTTGAAAACCAATGAATGACATGCTCTGCCTTGAGTTAAAAACCAATAACATTTGTTAAATTGGTATCCTATAACAGATCTTTTGCTACATGTCTCCAGATACTACTTTGTTTAAACTTAGCACAAGGTTAGGAGGCATTGGTTATATTGTGAGAAATGTACTTGAATATGGGGAATCTTCTGCACTGAATGTCGATTTAATAGTAGTACTCAAGACTGAATAAAAGGGGGAGAAGTGGGTGAGCAGAAGGAATGTAAGACAATTTAGAAAGCTATAACCATCATGCAATCATGAACTAAAACCTAAAATTCTAAAATTAGAATGTGAGAAATTTAAAAAAAAAAAATAGGAAGGGCATAAACAAGAGAGACAAAAATAGAGCCACAGGGCATGGCAATTGGGGACATTGGAGAAGATCCATGAAATAAGCTAAGAATCAGCCAGTCCCATGGATCTAGTTAGTACAAAGCTAGACTGTCTAATAGCAGTGGATAACTGGGTCACTTGGAGTAGCTTGACAGTTTAAGCATCACACTGTTGTAAAATCACTAGTGCAATTTTAGTCGTGTTATCTATTCCAGACTATTTACCCTGCGGAGATCATTGCCTCCACTCCTATTACTTGTTACCCTACTTCTTTCACTAAAAAAAGTCATCAGGCACAAATTCTCTCCTGTTTGTCAAAGTTTCAGTAACTAAGAGTTCTACATAGTCTTAGAGGCAATGGGGAAGTGGAGGAAGTCAGAGCAACTACCAGTCCTAGAAAGTACCCATATGCCTTGACTTCCGGTTCTCCCAATTTCCAAGCATGCCTGAGGTAGTGAAGGAGGAAGCCAGACCAGAAGGGCCAGAAAAAGAAGTCATATATATGCCAGTTTAAAGATCGGCTCAAACTCTGAGGCTGCTTCCAACAAGTACTACTGCAGCCTCCAACTCCATGCAATTATATTTGGGCTTCCGTCTGGCTCCAAGGTAGCAGATTGTCCAGTACACATGTGCTTTTGTTATGACTGTTCACCTGGGACATCCATCTAGATGTGGAAATTTGATTGAAACCATGGACAATTTGACCCTCATGAAACATCTTCCTTTCACCCCAAAACTGGCTTATATCTCTACCTCTTCACACAGCCTCCCTTCATCTTGGTCTCACAGAATGTATCCACCTCGAAGCTCAACCCTTCAACCTTTTGCCTTCTTCAAGACTTTGCTCCTTCAGTGATTCCTACTTTCACCAGAATATTCAGTTTTTCCTGCCTTCAGCCTTTCTTTTCTGTTGCTTCCATTTTCCCCAATCTTCTAAAACATGCTTTGGTCTCCTTTTATCTGAAAGAAAAAGAAATGTTGATGTCATCCAACCTTCCCTTTAGCTGCTTTCTTCCTCTTTTTAAAAGTAAAACTGAATTCTGGAAATTTCTAAAGGAGATGTTTCTTCTCTCACAAAGTAGCACCTTCTGTTCTTCATTTCCTTATTCCTAATCTGTTGCAATCATCACCAGTCTCGAATGGTGGGTTCCTCTCAAACAGCGTTTTTCACACCCAGTCCATCTTGCAGGCTTCTCAGCTTCTTCCTTGCAGCCCTCTGTTATTAATCACTCCCATATCCATCCTTCCTCCATCATACTAGTCTAGGCTCCTCTACTTCAGTAGCCATTTAAGATTGCTTAATTGGCTACTCTAGTTTGCTAGAGAATTCTTAAGTAATCTCATGTGGTAATATAGGGAAGCTTCTTGGCCATTTTTCATCTTATTGTCATCAACTTACATGTATAAACACATGAGCTTGGAAAACTGTCACTGAAAAAGAATGGTGCAGGTAATTTCATTTCCTTTGGGATAATTTATATACGCTATAACCCTGGTAATAAACCAAATCATAAGGTGTTCTATAGTCCTTTCATTTTTTTGTATAATGCCATAACAATTAGTACTATCTATTACAGAATATAGAAAGCAGCCCTTTCAATTGTCCAAGTGATGAAAGGAAAGCTATTATTGTATCTTGTGACTGCTAGTCAATGTAGGCAATGTTCTGTCTCTCTTGGACTGGCTTGCTCCTCTACCACGTTTGGCATGATCCAAAATTGAAGGAATGGTAAATAAAATTTCACGGGGAGCGACTTAGTGCAAATTTTGAGGGCCTAATGAAGAAAGTATAATGAAAGAAAAGGATTCCTTAAAGAAAAGAAAAGGCATTGAAAATGAATTGTGTCTACTGTATAATTTTCCAAAGACCCAAAGATGTGGCTCAGGGGCATTAATGTAAATGCATTCCACAAAACTAAGGCCAGAGCAAAACTAAGTCTCTGAACTAAGACATTAGTGATGGGCACAAGGCTTCCTCTTCGCTGCCCAGCAATGTTGAGAATATACACTAAAGGTGTGTCATTTTGGCCTCTGTTCATCTCTTCCTAGCAGGTCTGTGACCTTGACCAAAATGAAAAACAGCTGGCAGTCACCTCAGTTATCTAGTGATACCTCACGTCAGGGTATTTTATATTTTGTTTTGATATATTGATCAGGGTAGACTAACTTCTGTGTAAGAAATCTAAAAATCTCAGCTTAATTAAATTAAACTTGGCTTTTATTTCTGCTCATATCACAGTCAAAGGCTGGTTGTGTGGGGAGCAGTGGGAATTGTGGGAAAGACTCTGATCTACATAGAGAATTAGAGATCCAGACTCCTCACACCTGTGGCCCCAATTCTCCTCTCTGTCTGGGGAGTCCTCTCCATTTACCTACCATATGAGAAAAGATAATTATGGAGGTGTCTACAGTCCAATCCTGTAAGTGGTGAGATATCACTCTGAACATATTATATTAGCCTGCCACCAGCCTCATCGCCACACCCTACAAGAAGAAACATCAGAAAATGTAGTCTATTTGTCCTACTCAGAAAGGGTCTTGTAACCAAATAGAAAGCATGAACAGTAATGTTAATGTCATCAATGACCACTGGGGGTTGTTTCTAGAATTGTGGTGACCCACATGAACTAAAATGCATTAGGGTGTTTCTAACACGTCCATGCGTGGTCAATCCCGCCTAAACCTTGAACTGCTGGTGCATGTTCATAAATAGGTGATGATTACACGTTTGCAATGTGACATATGCACAGTATTTCTAATAATTAAAAATGATGTATTATCTTAATATCAAAATTGGACAAAGCTATAACAGAAGTAGAAAACTATAGACCTATATTTCATATGAATACACATATAACCCCCCCAAAATGCTAGCAAACCCATCCAGCAACATATAACAAGAAATATACACTATGACTAAGTGAGATTTATCCCAAGAATGTAAAGTTGGTTTCTCATCTGAAAATAAATTAATGTAATACACCATATCAATAGAATAAAGAAAAAAAAAACACATGATTATCTCAGTTGATCTAAGAAAGCATTTGAAAAAATCCAACACCCTTTCAGGATTAAAAAAAAAATCGTCAAAGTAGGAAAACAAGGAGATTTCCTCAACCTGATAAAACACAGCTATGAAAAACAGCATATATAATGGCAAAAGTCAGAATGCTTTCCCAACATGACCAGGTTCTAGCTAACAAATTGGGCAAGAAAATGAATTAAGGCATACATACCAAGAGAGATAAAAAGAAGTGAAACTATTTCTATTTACAGATGACACTATGTTGCATACAGAAAAGCCTAAGAAATTTACTAATGATATATTAGAATAAACAAGTTAGCAAGACTGCAGAATAAAAGATCAATACTCAAAAATCTACTGAGTTCTATACAGTGAACAATTTGAAAATGATATAAAGAAGGGCGCCTGGGTGGCTTAGTCAGTTAAGCGTCCAACTTTCGCTTAGGTCATGATCTCACGGTTAGTGGGTTCGAGCCCCGTGTCGGGCTCTGTGCTGACTGCCAGCTCAGCCTGGAGCCTATTTCAGAGTCTGTGTCTCCCTCTGTCTCTGACCCTCGCCTGCTCACACTGTCTCTCTCTCTCTCTCCTAGAAATAAATAAAAATATTAAAAAAAAAAAAAGAAAATGATATAAAGAAAGCAATAAGCGTCTAGTTATGGAACAAATCAGTCACATGAGATGAAAGGTACAGCATAGGGAATATAGTCAATGGTATTGTAATAGCATTGTATGGTGACAGTCGGTCCCTACACTAGTGGGAAGCACAGCATAACCTATGGAGTTGCTGAATCACTATGTTGTACACCTGAAACTAATGTAACATTGCATATCAACTATACTTCAATTAAATTTTTTAAGTATTTTTTTAAAAAGAAAGCAATATATTAATTATAATAGTATCTAAAAGAATATAACATAGGAATAAATTCAACAAAATGAATGCAGACTTACATTCTGAAAACTACAAAACCTTGTTACAGTGACTTAAAGCAGACATAGGAGCACCTTGGTGGATCAGTCAGTTGAGCATCGAACTTCTGCTCAGGTCATGATTTCACAGTTCGTGAGTTCGAGTCCCACATCAGGCTAGCTGCTGCTAGTGCAGAGTTGGCTTCTTCAGATCCTCTGTTCCCCTCTCTCTCTGGCCCTCCTCTGCTCACGCTCTCTCTTTCTCATAAAATAAACATTAAGAAAAAGTAACTTGAAGCAGATTTAAATAAGTGGAAAGACATTCCATGTTCATAAATCCAAAGATGTAATACCGTTAAGATGATGATACTTCTCACACTAATCTACAAAAGATCTAATGCAATCCTTATTAAAATCTCAGCTACCTTTTTTTCCCCTGAAATTGACAAGCAGAACGTAGAATTCATATGGAAATGTAAGGGACACAATAACTGAACCGGTCTTGCAAACAAAAGAATGAAATAGAAGGATTTATATATTCTGATATTCAAACTTACTACAAAGCTATAGTAATCAAGACTATGTGATACTGGAGTAAGGACACACATATATATCAGTGTGATAGAATTCAGAGTCCAGAAATAATCACTTACATACATGTTCAACTGACCTTCATCAAGAGTGCTTAAATTAATTCCATGAGAAAAAATAGTCATTTCTTCAACAAATGGTACAGGAATTACAAAAATCTGAAGTTGTGTAACTTGTTTGCACCACACAGAAAAATTAACTGAAAATGGATCAACTACTTAAATGTAAAATCTAAAATTATACAACTCTTTAAAAAAAACACATATAGGGGTAAACGTTTGTGTCCTTCTTAGATACAACAGTAAAAGAATAAGCAACAAAAGAAAAGATAGATAAATTGAACTTCACCAAAAGTAAAAACACTTTTGCTGCATATGGTAACATCAAGAAAGGGAAAAGACAATAGAATGGAAGAAAATAATACACAAAGCATCTTCTGATAAGAGTGTAGTATCTAGAAAATAGAAAAAAAACAACTCAATTACAAAAAGACCACCAGAGTTTAAAAATGAGAAAAGAATTTGAACAGCTATTTCTCTAGATAAAACATACAAATGGCCAATAAGCACATGAAAAGGTGCTTGCTATCATTGGTTATTAGAGAAATGCAAATAAAAACCCCCAAGAAATACCACTTCAAACACACTGGGATGGCTGTCATACAAACGACAGATAATAACAAGTACTGGCAAAAAGACCTCGGAAGGGGCCATTTTACATAGTGGGTGAGAATGCAGAAAGGTGCAGCCACCTTGAAATACACTTATTAAGTTCCTTAAAATTTTTAACAGATGGCTAGCCCATGACTCAGCAATTCTACTCCTAGTTTCATATCCAAGATTATGAAAACATGCCTCCATAGAAATTTGTATGCAAATTCTCATAACAGCATTATCCATAGTAGCCACAAAGTGGAAACAACCCAAATGTTTATTAATGGACGAATGAATACAATGTAGTAGATTTATAAAATTAAATGTTATTTGGAAACAAAAAAATAAAATATTGATACCTGGTACAAGGTCAATTTGTACAGCGTGGATAACCTTTAAATCATTATACCAAGTGAAATAAACCCATCACAAAAGACCACATATTATATGCTCTTAATGGGCAAAGTGATAGAGATAGATAGTAGCTTAGTGATTGCATAGGGCTCAGGATTTAGTGGGAAATAAGGAGCAATTGTTAATGGTTATAGCACTTATTTTGAAGGATAATAAAAATTCCCTAAATTGGATTGCAGAGATAGCTGCCTAACTCTGTGAATGTACTAAAAACCTTCAAATTGTGTACTCTAATGAGTATATGTAAAGAATGTGAAACACTTCTCAATAGACCTGTTTTCAAAATAAAACTACACAACATAGCAAGTCGTCAGTAGTGGCATAGCTGGAAGTTAAATTCTGGTGACTTGGCTTGCCAA